ACAGTCATATTTTCTGCATGGAAAGAAAGATCATCAGGGGCTTTACTTAAGTTGTAAATTTCAGGACCCCCGAGCTATTCGTTCTCCCTTGGGGAGGGGTAAAGTTTACTATAGTTTATATAGGGAAATAACTCTTTTGGGTATATTTTGAAAACTTTCTGTAGGAAATTATTTTTACTTGGTGAGAATTATCCTTGGAGAAAGATGGTTTCAAATTAAAAAATTGAGATTCCTACCCCAACCCCTGGGGCCAGGGGTGGGGCCCCAAAGGGAAAATTAACCAATATTTCACAAATCTTCTTCTCCAGACTCAGAGGTACTACAGTCATATTTTCTGCATGGAAAGAAAGATCATCGGGGGCTTTACTTAAATTGTAAATTTCAGGACCCCCGAACTATTCGTTCTCCCTTGGGGAGGGGTAAAGTTTACTATAGTTTATATTGGGAAATAACACTTTTGGGTATATTTTATCCATTTTCAGCAGAAAATTACTCAAACTTAGTCAGAATCATTTGGGGAATTCCTGCCCCCTCCCCAGGGGCTAGGGCGGGGCCCCAAAGGGAACATTTACCAATATTTTCAAATTCTTATCCTTTGATGACATGACAAGTATTGTATTTCACTTAGTTTACATGCTGATTTCCACATCACATCTAAACAATAAAATAAAGCTACCAGTTCCTATGATATAACTCATGTGACCGCTAAGGCCCTTTGGGCCTCTTGTTCTTATTTAAGCGGACCTGGACAGGGTCGGTCGCCGGAGACCAGGTAACTGGAGTGGTACATGTAGGTCGTCCGTCTAAAACTCGGAGGGTCCCGGGATGGAATCCCGGTATGGAATCCCGGATTGCGGCTCCGATTACAAAATTATAATATGTGACCAACCCTTATTTCGAGCACTGGGTAAATGCTCTGCAAGGGGATACTAAAATATTGGTTGTCAATAGTGGTGTCTTTGAGGGCGAAGACTTATATTGTAGAAAAGGGGAAGAATGTAGCGAAACTGGACTTGTTCCTTCTCCAGGTAGATCAATTGTTAGAGTGGAGTTTGGAGGGTCCCGGGTTAGAACCCGGTTGGACCATGCGTTTCCCCCCTCCTATTACATTATGAAAACAAATATCAAATGTATATCATTTAGTATGTACTAGATAGATACAAACAGACAAACAGAAATATAGATACATTTGTATATCGTTTTGAAAACATTTAGTAAGTGTTTCTATATTGAGGTACAGGCATCTGCATCTGGATTGTAAATATGAATTTAATGTCAATATACATTTACAAGCGAGATGCAGATTCAGGTGACTGAGATTACCAAGCTATATAGTGGCGCGAATAATTAATACTTTGGTTATTTGTGCATAAGCTGTGACGATCCAAAACACTTCGGTGAAAAAGTGAGTTTTGTTTGTTTGCGAGTCAGTTAACAATCGAAAGGACATGCAAACTGCATTGCTATGAATCAAGGTCCTTATCCTTACGACACCTGTGCTTTCGGTGGATTTGATAAATTCATAAATGACCAGAAATACAATAAAGTAACGCTTGTTTGCTTAAATGGGAAACATGTCGACAAGTGGCGGGGGAAAAAATGCAAGGAAGCATAGAGACTTCAAAAATGTACTTATAGTATTATAGTAGTCGCCTCATGAAAACATGCAGTGGGACAAAGGAGGCCGATTATTTCAACCAAACACATTCCGCAGTGTTGTAGTCTGCTATACTAAATGTTGGTCTCAGACATCCAAGCTCGTCTTTACTAGATCTGTTGATATCATTGACAAGGAATCCTGTCACTACGTACTGCAGTGCATTCCACTTGTGACTGATCCGACAGCTCACTTGTAGGCCTTCTCCTCGATTACATTAAATGTCTCCATGGGGTACCTTGGGTTGGCTTCCGTTAATCTTGTTACCTTGATGACCTGCCTGCTTCACTCCACAGTCGATGACAGTTCTACTGTTAAATAATTATATAAGTAGCAGTGTATTAGGATACAGCATATAAGGGCTCCAAAATATCTACCCTCTGACCGTTCTCGCCATTTCTCGTTAACGACACAGCGCTGTTCGCGTTACCTTGATAACCCGTATGATTCACTCTACAGTCGATAATTACCGTTCTATTCTGAAATAATTACATAAGAAGCAGTGTACGGGGATACATATAAAAAACAATCAAAATTCAAAATTGTATTTGCACATTTGTAACTACAAAGTAATTTGAAGGCAAAACAGTGAAACACAGTGAAAAACAAAAGTCTTCGCTCCCTTACCGTTCAGTTCTCGCGTAGAAATTCAAACTTGAGTGTGTCTAGGTAGAGTTCTCATTGATGTCGTTTCCTGATTGATATGTCAGACTTTGAAGACCACCGAAGAAGATGTCTGCTCGTTAGGGAACTCGTTAATGACAATTAAGTATAAAATATGTCTGACAGTTTTACCGATTTATCTTTTTTCATCTTTCACAACACTGACGTTTTTCTCCCAGGAAAGCTTTGATCCAGTTATTTGCAGCTTCGCATATTTAAATGGAACTTAATGGCCTCGTGTTAGCTTGTTCAATCTGTTAATCGCGTGTAAACTGTTAATCGCGTGTAAATACAGTGCCCGCTGAACTGAATAAAAATGAAACACTGCTGGTAACGAACTCAGAATAAATATATGTTAAGAAATAGATATTAACACCTCAGAAGAAATCTGAGCTTTTAGCGAGGATCGAACCCTATCCGTTTGCGGGAGTGCCGGTGACTTAACTTAATCGACCAATCCGTTCACCTTGTCGAACGCGTTGCTGAGCATATAATTACTACAAACAGCTGGTTTCCTTTATCAATATTTTATGCCAAGTCATGTTTCTGTTGATTTTTTTAAATTTTGGATCAGATTCCGTGTTGATAATGATAACGCTTTTCCTCAATGTCATACAATGTCATACAATGTCATACAATTATACATAGTTACAATGTCATACAATCATACATAGTTACAATGCCATACAACCATACATAGTTACAATGTCATACAATCATACATCCTGAACACCTGGGCCCGTATTCATGAAACCGTTCTCATGCTCAAACTCGGATTCTGTGCTCAAGCCCGATTTCTTGTTCCGGTAAATACTCTATAAAAATCAACATATATATCCTCAATATTGTGGAAGAAATTTCGCCGATACTAAAAGCCGAATACCGTTTTCAGTAATTACATTTGACATTCCGGATGTGGTACATGATTTAAGCGAGTTGCAAGAATGTTGGTTCGAGCAAAAAATCCATACATGAGCATACGAATGGTTTTATAAATACGGGCCCAGGTCTTATTGTCCTTGTATTTCCAAGCTTTCTATGTAAATCTTTCCATTGTTCATGTTTATCATTCTTTCTTCGATTTTGCCGTAAGCTTGTTTGTGAGACGAAATGCGTCACATAGAAATCTGGGATATGATTGGATGTACATGCAGGTTATCTTCCAAGCTGATACCATCTCGTCCCGTATATGGACGGTGGTGGTGGCCCTGAAGCACTGTTCATGGTTACAAAAAGTTATATCAAGTTGTAGTCTGTTCAGTTTTTTCTAAAAAGAAAATTATGGACCATTGATACAAGGAAAACGTTTAGCAAAGTTATTGAAGCCAATAAACATTGAGAATAACATAGTTTCTATTTAGGAGCAAGAAATGTTAACGGTTTGTCCAAAGTTCCGATCGACATTTAAAAATTCTATTGCTAAATTTTTTTTAAACTTTAATGATGAGGAGACTTTTAAAACCGTTAGATGTTTAAATTATATACATGTAAAAAACAATAAAATTACCCAAAACTTTCGCGGTTTTGTCATCAATCACGTGCGTGATACGGCGATTTTGGATCGGTTCAAGTCGTAAATTCAATCAAATGTCCTTCGCTTACATATTTTCATTAACTCCAACAATGCTTTTCTACAAAACATCTGATGATAAGGAATGCCTTTCATTTTCTTTTTTTCTTGAAATCAAAACCCCTAGACGGTTAGCGCGAAAGGACTCAGCAATACATATACTACGGCATGGCGTAATGGATCACTGGCATTTTCTACAATTAGTTCTTCACAACTAAGTATATTATTAGTTACACTGATTTTTGGCAGGGTAAACGGGATGGTATGACCCTAAAGGGTTTCGTTTTTCCTGAGGCCGGATTTTTGGCAGGGTTTACGGAATGGTATGACCCAAAAGGGTTTCGTATCGGCCTCAGGAAATACGAAATCCTGTAGGGTCATACCATCCGGTATACCCTGCCAAAAATCCGTGTAACGAATTTATTACCCCTTTGAGTCTTTTATATTGGTTTTGTACAGTTCCCCGTCAACTTTCCTGTTGTCAAGATAAAAATGGCACAGTACCTCATTTAGATTCGTTTAATCAAATTCCTCGAACTGTTCTTCCTGATTCCTTTCTTTTAAATACGTCCTCAGTATGTTTGCCGCTCGTCTGTTCGACTTTTGTGTGTTTTGTGGCACATAGTTAGCCCTTTTGGCGAGTATTTCCTCATCAGTATGCGAAGCGAAACGTTTCGCCATTTTGTAAACAGCGAAGCAGACGACGAATGCGAGTTGTCTCCCGTTGCCCCGCCGCAAGATACAAAGACACGTGACCCGCGTATACCGCTTGTAAAATCACGTGATTCCACCGTATTACTGCTGAGAAGCACGTGACATGACCGTATACCCCCTGAGATTTACGAATGCGGTTTAGTACACTGTAGTACACTGTAGTTTTTAACCAATCTGATTCCTAAATTTTTCTCGAAGGGGTAATAAACATGTACATTGTATATACACTGTACTTTCTTTTCTGATCTGACATCCCGTGTTCGCTTGCCCATTACCATACATTTTGTAATGGCCCCAAAGGACATTAGTGTGTCAATAGACTTTAAACAACTAACCAATCAAACAATCTTGGAACCAATGTGTCTGGACTAACAATGTATTTTTCTGTTTTTCTAGTGCCTCTAATTACAACGAAAAGTATATGGAGGCCCTAGCCATGGTTTCGTACACTGGTCACGTGTTCTGGCCGCCGATCGTCAAACTCAAAAGCTCTTGTGAAATGGACATCACGTATTTCCCGTTTGACGACCAGATTTGTAAACTTAAAATGGGATCATGGGCCTATGACGGTTTCCAAGTCGACATTTTCAACCGTTCTACACCCATTGACCTTTCAAACTTTGTTGGACATGGGGAATGGGAACTTATAGACACAAAGGCTGTTCGGAACGTAGTTGTCTACCCTTGTTGCAAAGAACCGTTCCCAGACGTCACTTTCACAGTCCACATCCGGCGACGCACAACGTACTACCTGTATAACGTCATTATACCGTCGGTAATGCTGTCGTCACTGGCTCTTCTGGGATTCTGGTTGCACCCCGACGGTGGCGAGAAGGTGACGCTCGGGTTGACCGTGCTTCTATCATTATCCGTCTTTATGCTGCTCATCGCCGAGAACACTCCAGCTACTTCTTTTTATATCCCACTACTAGGTAGGTGACTTGAACTCTCAAAACCAAAATATTTTCCTAACATTATCTGTTGGTATTGGCGTCTTCGCCTCATATTTTCTTTAATATTTTGTTCCCAGCAAATAATCGCCCACTAAGTTAAAACCCCAGAAATATTAACAAAAAGGTACATGCTGTACAAATGATTTTTTTATTTGTTTTTGAAAATTGTAGATGGCTTTAAAACATTTCGAATACCATACTAGTTCATTGAATCCCACCATATGATCGAGTGTGAATAAAAAGTAAAGGAAATTCCACTTTTTACAATGTACAAAATGTACTGGCAAAAAATCATACAAAGTTTGAAATAAGTGTTCGTTTATTTCCCTATATAGTCTGTAAAAACAATTGATGTTATCGTTTATTCCAACTCCGTAACTTCAGTTATTTCATTTATATATATATATTTCTTTTATTATTTTCTTAATGTATTTATTCATTCATTGTAAGCACAATTCAACGGATGGCATGACGCACGCTATTCATTTGAGAAAACAGAAGAAAGTAACTAATGTAATTAGAGCTACATTAGTGCCGGACAGAACTTATTAGATAAATCATTGAATCTCCAGTCGACAGCAGATAGGGCAGGATCACCAATTTAGGTATTCTGTTTTGTACAACACATATACAGTAGTGATACTGTGTTGTCTGTCGACTCGGGTCCCTTACATAGGCTCTTGTGAACCAGAAAAAAAATATACGCGTTTAAATTATTCCATGTTACACTTTTCGATAGGGAAAACACTTTAGGAAATATAACTTTATCGGTAAATTTTAAGCCGAGCAACAAAACCACTTTTTTGGAACGTGTTAAACAGTGTAGAATGCTACACAGCAATTCGTAAATTTGTTATATACTATATGTTTTCTGGTTTCCAAACGCCTGTGGTTTATCTGACATGCGTACTCTCCGTTCAAACCACATGTGTCGGTTCCACGCCTTAATTAAGTGCAGACATTCTTGTAATTTAGGAGACAGGACGCTATCATCAGATCAATAGCTAAGGAAAATGTATACCTACTATATCATTATATCTGATAGCCGGCCTGCTTTTTGTTTTATTACTCTGGCCTTCGTTCGTGCAACAGTTTGCGTGATCATGGCTTGCGTTGTCTTTTATAAACGAGCCGGACCCGATTTCTAAAAAGACAACAGAAATCGAATAATCAACGTCTGATCAGCTTAACCAGCCGTTAACTAGAATAAATCAAATTGTATTTGTGAGGGGATAAAAAAAAAAAAAAAAAATCTGTTTCTTTTTGGAATCTAAAATATATGTACAAATAGATATCAGTTATGAATTTCGATATTTGTTATTTTGTTTTTATTAAACTAAGAAGATGGAATATTTGCTTTTTTTTTTTGTTAAGCTGACAAGGAAGTGACCGTTTGATTTCAGGTCTAACGCGCCTACTGTTAAAACAATTGTACGTCTAATTGGCGACCAATAGATTTGATCAGAAAACGCGTATAATTCTGGAGAAATTGTATTCCATTTATCAACCGCTGGTAGCACGTCTTAGGCTGATTTTCATCGATTCGTGATAGTTGCGACAGACATCTAATCGCGCTCGTGTACAATTGATAAACAATAAACATTGCTGCACGAACAACATTATACAAGAATAACACGGCGTATTTTGTATTGATCGCGAAAGGGGGCGTAACTCTCCCCGTTCTTTATGACTTCGGATTATAGGTTGCACACCATCGTTTCGTTCATCACGTAGCTTTTCGTGTGATCTATTAGAAAACGACCTTGTTTTCTGGTAGCACTTGTCATGTTTATTGATATCCTTTGAAATCTGAATAATAAATCTGACAACGGCCGCGATGTTTTGTGTTTTGAGATATATCATTTACTTTGGTATAAGGTCGCGATCGCGAACGGTTTATGCGATTTTATCACGTGTTATTTTTCATTTGATTTTAATACGATAACCTAAGATCTGACTGACAAAAAACGTACAGTACTACAAATGATGGATCCACAGACAAACCGGGGGTAGAAAGTGGGAATGGGTTAAAAACGGGAAAGAATATTTCACACATTTCTGTTATATGAAAGGTTTGTTAATTCCTCCTTTAAAAAAGGGTACCCTCCTTACTAGGATGACTAATCTGCGAATGCTGATATATAATGAATTACAAAACACTATTAAACATTTTAACGTATTTTTAATGTGGTATATGTTTTGCAGGGATTTATTTGATAACAACGATGTCCTTCACTTCCGGTTCCGTTGTGGTCGCAGTGAGCGTGTCCAGTATCCATGCACGCGGTTCATACAATAAAAAGGTACCAACCGGTCTTAAACGGTTCATTATGTGTCTTTCGAGGGGAATTTGTATGGAGACCAAATACATTAACAAATGCTTTTATGACGAGGTCCAACAGCCAATGGTCGAGATCATATCCAAGCCTATGAATGGCGAACTTAATGGAAACATCCAGAATACGGTGTGCCAGGAGGAACGGCGTAAAATTCTGGAAGGTTACGACGAACAAATTACCTCCCCTCCTCCAATCATATCAACCGCTGATGAACAAAAGCGCCACCGGTCACATCCGGGCTCTTTTAAAAAGAGTCACGAAACCAAGTGCTGTGAACCATCTGAAGATAAACCGGATGTGTACAATGGAGCGATCCTTGACACATTGAAGTGCCTTCTGGATCAAAACAATGCCAGACAACGAGAGGAGGAGTTAAAGAAACAATGGGAAGAGGTTGCTATGGTGATAGATCGATTCCTTTTCTGGGTTTTTCTGTTTGGAAACATACTTTCATCGTTATATCTTCTCGTGTTGTGTCCAACGGTAATGCAAAATAAGTCCATTGATTAAGTGACCATCCGTACATATCTATATGTATCTTCACTGTAATGTATTTTTATGAGAAAAAAAATGTGCTTTTCATGACGCCATTATGACTTATATTTTACATTCATGTCATGACGTCATAACATTGTCTTGTAAAGCGTCATTCCATTTGATTGTAATGTAAAGCGAGTGGCGTAAACTAGATGTGGTCCTTATTGACAGATATAGAGTTGTTTATTCTGTGTGGCTTGTTAGCATATCCTCCCTTACTCACTACGGGTTTGCATTTCTTGGTCACGTGACAACAGCTCGCTGCTGGTCCACTATTACATTGTAGTGAAATAAACGTAACGTTAAACACGCATTCACACTGATCATGACGTCATACAACAAGAATTTGTGACAACATCTTTTTTCACGGAATTAGTTTCTGATCTGAGACCGACATGTTGTGTTATCAAGTGAAATAGATCACACTGCAGGTGAAAAAGTTCACCAATACTTGTGATGATTGTTGGTTTTCATGTGTATCTAAACTTTCGTTAGTTCATTTTGAAATAAAAATAAGTTTGGTAAACCTCATGTCTTTTACTTTTAATTTGGTGTGCGATCTTTTGAATTCCAGATTAATGTTTTTTTGTGTTTTTGTTTTTTTAAATGTATTTTTTTATTTTCTTTCTGCATCATATACATGCTATACATTGCCTTAATTAGGTCCATACATTGTATTATAATATCTAAATTCATTTGTTTTGCTTCTTCATTTCCAACAAGATACTTACACAAGTATTCTGCTCTTGTTTGATAAATTCTTACTTACTTTATTTCAACTTCCATGTAAATCACATTGGTGTTTTTTTGATGAATTTATTTGTGAAATAAGAAGAACTCCGTTTATTGATTGGTATCGATTGTGAAGAATACAAGCATACTATAGCAAATATAATATTTTGAGTGTCGCAAGTTTTCATTTTCATTAAAATGAGAACCCAAAGAAGTTGTGTAACTTCCTGATGCAGTTGAACGAGTCGTGTACATGTCTCACTCATTACCTTACAGACGGTGTTCGTGTCTCACTCATTAACTTACAGACGGTGTTCGTGTCTCACTCATTCACTGACAGACGGCCGTGTTCGTGTCTCACTCATTAACTTACAGACGGTGTTCGTGTCTCACTCATTCACTGACAGGCGGTGTTCGTGTCTCGCTCATTAACTTACAGATGGTGTTCGTGTCTCACTCATTAACTTACAGACGGTGTTCGTGTCTCACTCATTTACTGACAGACGGTGTTCGTGTCTCGCTCATTAACTTACAGGCGGTGTTCGTGTCTCACTCATTAACTTACAGACGGTGTTCGTGTCTCACTCATTTACTGACAGACGGTGTTCGTGTCTCGCTCATTAACTTACAGACGGTGTTCGTGTCTCACTCATTAACTTCCAGACGGTAATCGTGTCTCACTCATATACTCACAGACGGTGTTCGTGTCTCACTCATTCACTGACAGACGGTGTTCGTCAAAGTGATTCTGTTATACTATCGTTTATTTCTTAGTCCTCCTTTTGTTTCGCAAAATAAGTGCATAAAGTTTGAAATAATGAGCCTGGCTTAATACATGTACCGAGGCTACACATGCGCAGTTGTAACATGGATAAGGTACAATAAATTGAACGAAGTTGTTGTTTTGTTTAAATATTAGTCAGTCTATGTTTCAAGTAATATAGTAGTCCTTGGTTTGATTCAGAATTGTTTTTGACATCATAAAACTTATTTGAACTTTTTTGAAATTGAACGGATTATATCTTCAGTATACTACCATTACTTGTCGAGAAAAAAATTGATGTTATAAATGAAGTGGCAATATACTGTACCGAGGGCAAATTGTAAACTAATTGTTTAGAAAATTTTATAATGCTTGCAGTACAAATATTATTGCTGAATTAGGTGGCAAATGAAAAGAGGGGCAGAATATCGAGGTTTTATTGCAAACGTTATATCGAAGTTTTACAATCAATATAAACGAGGGGCGTTATATGGAGGTTTAACTATCAATGTAAACAAGGGTATTATATTGAGGTTTTACTATCAATGTAAACCAGGGCATTATATCGAGGTTTAACTATTAATATAAACGAGGGACGTTATATCGAGGTTTTACTATCAATGTTAACAAGGGTATTATATTGAGGTGTTACTATCAATATAAACGAGGGGCTTTTTATTGAGGTTTTACTATCAATGTAAACGAGGGCATTCTATCGAGGTTTAACTATCAATATAAACGAGGGACGTTATATCGAGGTTTTACTATCAATGTAAACGAGGGCATCAATCGAGGTGTAACTATCAATATACACGAGGGACGTTATATCGAGGTTTTACTATCAATGTAAACAAGGGTATTATATTGAGGTTTTACTATCAATATAAACGAGGGGCGTTTTATTGAGGTTTTACTGTCGATGTAAACGAGGGCATTTTATCGAGGTTTAACTATCAATATACACGAGGGACGTTATATCGAGGTTTTACTATCAATGTAAACAAGGGTATTATATTGAGGTTTTACTATCAATATAAACGAGAGGCGTTTTATTGAGGTTTTACTATCAATGTAAACGAGGGCATTATATCGAGGTTTAACTTTCAATGTAAACGAGGGTATGATATTGAGGTTTTACTATCATTGTACGAGGGGCGTTTTATCGAGGTTTTACTATCAATATAAACGAGGGGCGTTATATCGAGGTTTACTATATGTATCAATATAAACGAGGGCATACTATCGAGGTTTTACTATCAATATAAACCAGGTTATTATATTGAGGTTTTACCATCAATAGAAACAAGGGTATCATATCGAGGTTTTACTATCAATATAAATGAGGGTATTATATTGTGGTTTTACTATCAATATAAACTACGGTATCATATCGAGGTTTTACTACCAATATAAATAAGTGGCAAACGAGGGTCATATATTATATTATAATCCGTTCCCTAGTAATCGAGTCGAACCTCGCTCATCCGTTCCCTAATAATCCAGTCGAACCTCGCAAATCCGTTCCCTAGTAATCCAGTAGAACCTCGCTCATCCGTTCCCTAGTAATCCAGTAGAACCTCTCTGATCCGTTCCCTAGTAATCCAGTAGAACCTCGCTAATCTGTTCCCTAGTAATCCAGTAGAACCTCTCTGATCCGTTCCCTAGTAATCCAGTCGAACCTCGTTCATCCGTTCCCTAGTAATCCAGTAGAACCTCGCAAATCCGTTCCCTAGTAATCCAGTAGAACCTCGCTGATCCGTTCCCTAGTAATCCAGTAGAACCTCTCTGATCCGTTCCCTAGTAATCCAGTAGAACCTCGCTCATCCGTTCCCTAGTAATCCAGTAGAACCTCTCTGATCTGTTCCCTAGTAATCCAGTAGAACCTCGCTCATCCGTTCCCTAGTAATCCAGTAGAACCTCTCTGATCCGTTCCCTAGTAATCCAGTAGAACCTCGCTCATCCGTTCCCTAGTAATCCAGTAGAACCTCTCTGATCCGTTCCCTAGTAATCCAGTAGAACCTCGCTCATCCGTTCCCTAGTAATCCAGTAGAACCTCGCTGATCCGTTCCCTAGTAATCCAGTAGAACCTCGCTAATCTGTTCCCTAGTAATCCAGTAGAACCTCGCTTATCTGTACCTCAGTCATCCAGTAGAATGTTTCAGCAACTTAACAGTTTTATTAGTACGTAATTCTACACATTTAGAAATTCATGAACATGTACATGTTTTTGTATAGGATCCAATCATTGGTTTGGGAAAATTGTTTATAATTGACATTTTGCCTATAAATATCTCATATCCGAGTAAGAGTTATCTCTCTTGGTTTTTAAATTTATCAAACAACTCAACACATCTAGATTCCAGATAACTTATTGAACTTTGCCCGAGCTAAAGCTGTGTTAAATAGTTTCTATGTAAATTTCCATCATTTTCCTATTTTGGAACTCTTTCTGTTTGAAAGTACAATTTTTTAATAATGTTCTGTGCTTAATAGAAAATTTAACTTGATTTGAGAAAATAAGTTAAAAAAAGAAATCCATATATATATATTTATATAAAGCCATCCTCAACATTCTAAGGATAACGCTCACTGACGCTCTCTGCATCCCTGGACTATGTCACAGCAAACCTGAATGCACGCGGCTAGCTATTTGATTGGTCTGATGTAGATACCTATATTTTGAAGATTACAGAGTAGTGACACCTGACTTCAAAATGAATCAACTTTACCGTTACGCGGCCGCGAGATTCGTTTCATTTAAAGATTAATCTTGTCATCCTGCATCAATCGCAATGTGGAACACACTGAGCCCTCCATTTTGTCATGAAATATTCAAGAGATGTAGTGAGTGTAAGTTATCGCAACCCCTTGAGTATCGAGGATGAGTTTAAGCCTGCAGGTAACTGTTCCGGATAATTGTGTAGACTTAATTGTAGTTGTGACGAAATAACTCCACAGCATGTAAATTGTCATGAAATAAATATACATGTATGTGTATATAAACTATTTCATTACATCATTTTAACGCATGTCCTTTGGTTTATGTCGCTTCCTAAATCGTGTTCGGTTTTTGTTGACTCTTCCAATATGTTTCCAATAATCTTAAATGAATTAATGAAAACACTATCAGAAAAATTGTTCACATAATTCCATTTTATGACATGCATTTTTTTCCTATACTCATACAACATAAAGATGATCGTAATGATGTGGTCCGTTACTTGTGACGAATAGAAAGACACTATATATCACTCTTAACGGTGAAAACTAAAATGAACTCTTTTGTGTTGGGAGATAGAAATCCGTTCATCATTAAACATGACTCGACAAGCTTATATCTGTCACTCAAAAATTTCATGCTTTGACCATTTTGACAAACTAATGAAAACGACCACAAAACACTAAAATTACTACTTGTTTGAAACATCCCTGAGCAGTTTTACTTTCTATTTCGATAAAGATGATATTAGTCGATTACATGTATATTTTAAGAGAGAAAGTTATCTATTTTTGTAACAAACTTTTATTCTATAAACGCATCAGATACCCAATACACAAAACTGTTAAAAGCACCGTAAGATTTTGTCCCAAACATTCTCCCCTCCCTTTCGTGTTCACAACTTTCTCTTCAACACCGTTGCCAACATTTTGCTGTTGTTGTGTCAAAGCGGAAGTAGGTTTCACTTCCATCGAAGTCCGATCTGGTTTTACTTCCTTTTCTGTGGTTGTCATGGCGTCTCGTGTTTCAGTTGTCACTTCCGGTAGCTCTATTGTTGTTGTCGTTATGAGGTCTTCTTTTGCTGTTAATGAGAAATAAATTTAAAAACTGAAAGCGAGTTGACGTCTTAACGAAAAACAATGATGCATTTCAAATATTGTGAATTAAGTATTAAGTTTGTTTTGAACACGAAAAGTAATCTAAAGATTATTTTGAGAACTTTTGAAAACTTCTGTTTCCTTAGTCAAGCAAAGAGTGTAAATGATTGGTGTCTCGACTCTGAACTGCTGAAAACAACTCACTAAGCCTCGGTGTGGCGTAGCAGTAAAGTCCGCTGTCAAAAATCATAGAGACATTTCGCAAAATTGCACTTAATACTGCAGACAGTCAAGGGACGGTTGGTGTGCTAATCAATTCCGCCCTTCCTGGATAGATGCATAGACATCGTAACTGAACAGGAGGACATGGAGAATTAAATGCGACATACACTGTTTAAAGAAGGGCCCTGGCAACATGTAGACATCCCGAATTGTCGATAAAGATAGTAAAAAATAAAAAATAAAAATAAAATGGAATGGCCCCAAGAATCATAAACGTACAGTACTAACACGCAGTGAGAAAAACTAACGGTATGGTCACCCCACCACACCACACCATACCATACTATACCATACCATACCACACCACACCACACAACACCACACCACACAACACCATTCCATACCACACCACACTATACCATACCATACCATACCATACCATACCACACCACACCACACCACACCACCACACCACACCATACCACACCACACCACACCATACCACACCACACCACACCACACAACACTACACCACACAACACCATTCCATACCACACCACACTACACCATACAATACCATACCATACCATACCATACCACACCACACCACACCACACCATACCACACCACACCACACCACACCACACCATACCACACCATACCATACCATACCACACCACACCACACAACACCACACCACACAACACCATTCCATACCACACCACACCACACTACACCATACAATACCATACCATACCATACCATACCACACCACACCACACCACATCACATCACATCACACCACACCACACCACACCATACCATACCATACCGTACCATACCACACCATACCACACCATACCATACCATATCACACCAAACCACACCACAACACACCATACCATACCATACCATACCACACCACACCACACCACACCATTCCATACCATATCATATCATACCACAACATACCATAACACACCACACAATACCATATCATATCATACCACACCACACCACACCACACCATACCACACCATACCATACCACACCATACCATACCATATCACACCATATCATATCACACCATTCCACACCACACCACACCACACCACACCATACCATACCATACCATACCACACCACATCACACCACACTACACCATACCATACCATACCATAGCATAGCATACCACAACATACCATACCACACAATACCATACCATACCACACCACACCACACCACACCACACCACACCACACCATACCATACCATACCATGCCACACCACACCACACCACACCACACCATACCATACCATACCCATACCCATACCACACCACACCACACCACTCCACACCATACCATACCATACCACACCACACCACACCACGCCACATCACACCACACTTCACCACAGCATACCATTCCACACCACACCATACCATACAATACCCATACCATACCATACCATATCACACCATACCATACCATAGGGACGTATAAAGCTCTTTCAAGAGTGTTATGAAAACAGTCACATCAGCATCCCCTGGTGGCACAAGCTGAGTCATATTTATGTCCCTATTTTAACATCCAATAAGGGGCGGAATCAGTAATTTGCAGTCTTTGCTCTCACAAAGGAAACAGACGTTTTCGAAAACCTGCAGAATAAGTTTTCAATTACCGTTTGAGTTAAAAAACAAACTTGACCATATCTAATGATTCCAGACTGATAAATCTCATTCCAATTATATTGTGAATAGTCAAATCAAGCATATCGAAACACGGTATGTAATCAATTTTCGGAATGTATCATTTGAGTTGTTAACAAAAGAAATGTACCACATCGTAAAAATGCAAAAGCAAGTCTGGAACTCAAACTCAAAACGAAAACACATCAACATGAAACCGTACATACTTATAAACCGTACATACTAATAAACCGTACATACTTATAAACCGTACATACTTATAAACATACTTATAAACCGTACATACTTATAAACCGTACTTACTTATAAACCGTACATACTAATAAACCGTACATACTTATAAACCGTACATACTTATAAACCGTACATACTTATAAACCGTACATACTTATAAACCGTACATACTTATAAACCGTACATACTTATAAACCGTACATACTTATAAACCGTACATACTTATAAACCGTACATACTTATAAACCGTACATACTTATAAACCGTACATACTTATAAACCGTACATACTTATAAACCGTACATACTTATAAACCGTACATACTTATAAACCGTACATACTTATAAACCGTACATACTTATAAACCGTACATACTTATAAACCGTACATACTTATAAACCGTACATACTTATAAACCGTACATACTTATAAACCGTACATACTTATAAACCGTACATACTTATAAACCGTACATACTTATAAACCGTACATACTAATAAACCGTACATACTTATAAACCGTACATACTTATAAACCGTACATACTTATAAACCGTACATACTTATAAACCGTACATACTTATAAACCGTACATACTTATAAACCGTACATACTTATAAACCGTACATACTTATAAACCGTACATACTTATAAACCGTACATACTTATAAACCGTACATACTTATAAACCGTACATACTTATAAACCGTACATACTTATAAACCGTACATACTTATAAACCGTACATACTTATAAACCGTACATACTTATAAACCGTACATACTTATAAACCGTACATACTTATAAACCGTACATACTTATAAACCGTACATACTTATAAACCGTACATACTTATAAACCGTACATACTTATAAACCGTACATACTTATAAACCGTACATACTTATAAACCGTACATACTTATAAACCGTACATACTTATAAACCGTACATACTTATAAACCGTACATACTTATAAACCGTACATACTTATAAACCGTACATACTTATAAACCGTACATACTTATAAACCGTACATACTTATAAACCGTACATACTTATAAACCGTACATACTTATAAACCGTACATACTTATAAACCGTACATACTTATAAACCGTACATACTTATAAACCGTACATACTTATAAACCGTACATACTTATAAACCGTACATACTTATAAACCGTACATACTTATAAACCGTACATACTTATAAACCGTACATACTTATAAACCGTACATACTTATAAACCGTACATACTTATAAACCGTACATACTTATAAACCGTACATACTTATAAACCGTACATACTTATAAACCGTACATACTTATAAACCGTACATACTTATAAACCGTACATACTTATAAACCGTACATACTTATAAACCGTACATACTTATAAACCGTACATACTTATAAACCGTACATACTTATAAACCGTACATACTTATAAACCGTACATACTTATAAACCGTACATACTTATAAACCGTACATACTTATAAACCGTACATACTTATAAACCGTACATACTTATAAACCGTACATACTTATAAACCGTACATACTTATAAACCGTACATACTTATAAACCGTACATACTTATAAACCGTACATACTTATAAACCGTACATACTTATAAACCGTACATACTTATAAACCGTACATACTTATAAACCGTACATACTTATAAACCGTACATACTTATAAACCGTACATACTTATAAACCGTACATACTTATAAACCGTACATACTAATAAACCGTACATACTTATAAACCGTACATACTTATAAACCGTACATACTTATAAACATACTTATAAACATACTTATAAACATACTTATAAACCGTACATACTTATAAACCGTACATACTTATAAACATACTTATAAACCGTACATACTTATAAACCGTACATACTTATAAACCGTACATACTAATAAACCGTACATACTTACACACAAATGTAGAGACAAAATGAATTGATGGATACGGTTCAATTTTTTGTAAATCTCATTCATTTCAAAATGAGGTGTAGAATAGAAAAATAATCAATATTCTGTTATAAACATGTAATAATTTACAGTGTGTATGATTCAACTACGTGTGCAAGATAAACACAAATAAATCATGTCTTGTCTTAGAGAAAGATATTGAAAAAATAATAATATCAAATTAAGAAAATAAAATAAAAGTACTACACAGAGACCGAAATTTGGACAGCAATTTGCTTCCAGTAAAACACATTGTTCACAAAGACAAAGTCCCTGCTCTGCATCTTCATAGAAAACATGTTTCATTTGTTTTCAAAGCCATTCAGATAATGTACATGGCACGTATTCATAACATTGTCTTTTTAATGTATAACATTTTTATTTATCAACAGATGGAATGGAAACACTAATTTTACTTGCTCCAAGCAGTTCTTGTTCTGTATTTGAATTTAACATACTAACCGTTTGGCGCTAGACATATTTACATTTACGTTTTGTAGTTGAGTATCGTCCAGATGAATCTACATTCAATGGACCTCAGCAGTCTGGTATTGAAAACGAATAATTGCATTACTATACTTAACTCATTCATCCCTGAAGACACATTTGAACACTTCCAATTCAAAGGTTCATTGTGAAATTTCAGGGGTAAATGAGTTCAGGCATAATCAGAATTGTTATGGGGGTAAAATGGTATGCACGAAAGAGATGTGCGCTTTGCATTAATTCGCGTAGCGGTTTATGTAAAAATACTACATTGTATATGCTCAAACAATACGACATCCTCACTATTAGGGTTGTCGTTTTATCAGGTTATACAATATAACTTAAAAATGTGTACGATTGAGGGAATAGACACAACTTTTAAAATTAACTGTCAGAAATGACGGAGATTCTTGAACTTTTTATTGATTATTTGACATAACAGTTCTTCTGGATTTGATGGAGAACATCATGATGGGGCCTCATTTGGTGGAAGATGCTCTTTATTAGCCTTCTGGAGGTGTCGTGTGCCTCCATTGCCTTGTCGCGCTTAATATCATTTCCTTTGCTTAAGTAGTAGTATCAGTTGTCTTTTGCGAAAGTGACAATACTTATATTTGACCTAGATTAACATGAGAGTATCGCCGATGAAGCAGGAGACGATTTCCCTTTAGGGACAGCTTGTTCAGCTCTCCTGGCTAAAGATATGCTGTACATCTTCCCACTGATCATGTTAAGCCGTAGTTTTATCGATTTCATGTGCGAATGATGGTTTTTATTTTTTATTTTTGTTCTTCTGGCATATTGGCGACGTGGTACATTTGTTCTCTTACCTGACAAAACATGTTTTGAACATTATCAAGAGAATACCGAAGTGTTAACAAAACCATCAGTCGAACTCAAAGCAATAAAACTAGGGTAGAATGTTTAACATGGAGGGCCTTGAATAAGTGCATGGAGAATACGACCACCTTTTAAATCGAGGTCAAACCAAAGTTCTGTCATGTCTTTTCATGACGAATTCGGGAAGTGACATCAAAATCACAAGGTCCACTAATGAGCATAATAAAGAAAACACATCGACCTTTATATCACAATTTTAGCATTCTGGAGTTCTTGAATATTGAGAATGAAGTAGCTAGGATACTCACCTAAAACTGTGAGCTGGTATATTACAAGTGGTGTTGTTTTGGAATCTGCCAGACACTCATACGACCCAGAATCTGTCAATTTGATGTTTTCTATCTGGAGGCGGCGTTCACGTGGATAATCCATGATTAGCTTGACTCTCCTGTACCCCATGACTTTTGTGCCAATTACGACTGGTATCCGTCTGTTTTTTGTCCACACTATCTGAAGGCATAGGAAACACTTGATACATGTAGAACAATTAAGCGAGTAGGATTTGTTCGGAGGAATACTGGCTACAGTCGCTCTATATTGGTTTTATTTTATTGAGTTTAGCGTCCTATTACATTGTAGTAGCTAAGGCGATTTAAGGACGTGCCTCCATGTGTGTAAACTATGCGTGCATGTGTGTTTCGGTGCTGGGTGCAGGGTATGTTGGTGTATTTGCCTCCTTGCAACAGCGCAGATTTGATGACGATTTCAGAGTGCTTCCTCACGTCACTAACATGGCACAGGCACTTAACACAGTATTCCATACGGCCAAACTATAATTGAATAGGGTTTAACAAATTGTTGCGATAAACCTAAATTCTGAACGTTTAGCAGCGAAGAGAATACAAAATACCAAAGTTTTAACAAGACTGTAATTGGAACTCAAAATCCATAAAACTAGGGCAAAATAAAAATAAAAGATAGATTTACATGGAGACCGTTTCAAATTACAAGGAGAATAAGATCAGGTGTTTCTGCTTCATCGACGTTACTAGACATGTAGTCCAAATCAAAGTGAAAGCAAGACCTCAAAGAGGGAACCGGGGTAATGACAAAATATAAGGCTCGCTAATGAACACAATAAAAAGTTGACCTGCACATCATAGAAAAAGGTGTTTCCCAAATATATCACCATGGCAACCATAACAATTACCGATATCTACATCAACAGGTAGCCTTTTTAAACCCTATGTGAGAAATCACATCTATATTACATTATATTAATTATTATATTATTGATTGAAGGAAGTACATTGCGCTATCATTCTTTTTGAGACGCACTTAGATGTGGAGGGCATTTTACTGGCTTTGTATATCAAGAAAATGCTCGATCTTTACACAGGTACAACTAGCGAATATTTCAACACCACCCTGAACTTAATAATATACAGTAATACTATCGAACATAACATTTTTCCCCGACAACCTATGTCGGCAGTATGATACTTTCATGTAGTAACACTGTACTACAACGATCCCCGATAATTATTTTTCCTTAAAATGATAGCCTTACAATTTAGGCATACTTCTTTTCTGTCGGAGGAGTCCACCAATATTGCAATCAAGTTCAAAGAGGAGGTCAAGTGCAACCGTGAATGCTGTTTGGGAATCTGAAATGTCTTCCAAAATAAACGAAATGGCGACTTCAATCAGTAAAAATGTTTATATCTTTGCGGATTCTGCATCTACACTAATGGGTTTACAATGTGCTTCCCTCATCGTTTTTTCTAGCCGTTAATGTAATTGCATACATAGTGTGACCATTCAAAAGCCAAAACACGTCCAACGACGGCCATACCGTAATGTTAGACTTTACGATTAACGTGACAATTTCGATTTCATGATCGTAAACTTTACTGCTTCCGTTTCTACGATGTCTCAGTTGCTTAAGTGTTCACGGGCTTGCTCTTAACATTATGATTCCCGTGACGGATGTCGACGGCTGACGGTCAAATTTAACACACAAAGTCATATGAAGGTTGATTAAGTTTTTGGGTAAGTTTGTTGTCATGGACGCCATGATGATCTCATTTGGAAATATGCCATTTCTTTTAATTATATGAAGATTGATGTTTTTTATGCTCATTAATTTGCCTTGTTGGTTTGTTTTCACTACCGCAGTTCTCGATTTGGGGACATGCAAATTGCCCATATTCCATGCTTGAGCTTGAGAACGGTTTCATGAATACGGGCCCATGCCTTTTGCTTCTTGTTCTCCCCAAAATGTCGCCGAGTAACTCATTCCATTGTTCATGGGTAAGTCTAGGCTGAAACCTTTACCTTTTTATGAAAAACCTTTTCTCCACTGATAGAAACATTGATATCATTTTAATATTAAAATATATTTGTATGTATTTAGCCAAATAAACTTTCATAGCTGCAAAAATATTTTTTCTGCTATGTTTTTCCCCATAAAGCTACAACCTTAATAGTGTAATCATATTTAAATTTCAGCAAGTTGTACATTTTTAAGGATCCCTGCCCCCCTGTTTAGTGAATTTTGGTATGTACAGTAACCTCTCCTTAATTTTGTTTTGGGTAAAATTGTAGCACTTTTTGACCGAATCGCTTCTGTTGACCAGGTAGCTCAGTCGGTTGGAGATATATTGGTAATGGGACGGGGATCCTTAATTCATATCCTGGAAGCACGGTAGCCTAGTGGTAGGTTGCTCGGCTTAGGACCGAAGGGTTGCGGGTTCGAGTCATGTCACGGCACTGTGTTGTATCTGTGAACAAGATACTTTACTCCGCTTGATCCAGACTACTCAGTTGTAAATGAGTGCGTTGTTAGACAGTGCTTAAATTGTTGAATGCTAGCTGTGAGCGCCGAAATGGCAGCACCGACTGTATGCTCCCCCAGGGAGTTGAGAGAGATATTGGATGGTTGCAAAGGCCCTATAACCACGGATAATAATTTGTGAACCGCTTTGAGACGACCTACGAACTAGGTTGTGATAAAGCGGTATATAAGAACCTCGAACTATTATTATTATCATTTTTATTATGTATGTTCAACATACTTACTATGTTACAAACCGCCACTCATACACATTCTACATTATCACAAAAATGGAGCGAGATGGAGGTAGGTGGAGGGGGTCAATATCCGGTCCGGATGTGTGTGGTAGCCTTCCGCAATTCTTGTCCTTCGTTACTGGAAACCGGTGACACGTACATCCGGGACATAGGTTCAGCTTTGAGAAGGAGCAGGTTCATTATGCTGTTACACTATTACCTTCAGAACGATTCCTATGACGTCTTTTAGTAGTAATCAATATACATGTACTAAAGGTTCGTCATAATAGACTATTTACAGAAATGGCAATTTGGAACTCTTTTGAATTAGAGGCGCATTTCGTAACGACGTAGCATATATTTCGATTAAACAGAGTAAATTTCGAAAATGATTTCATTTTTATCAAAAACAAGGAATTGTACATGTATGTCTACATATCCTTTCAGAAGAAGATATTCAGCGTTTAAAAACAATTCAGACAAAGGTCGAAAGTTCACAATGCACATTTTTCCTTGTTCTTTATAACGCGCTTAAGAAGGAATGGGATTTCGGATTGAGATTCACCAGTTTGGTATGAATAATAATGACTAAGTTTGTTTTGAACACAAGCTAAGAGCGCAAGGAGGTGTATCCTCTCTAAACCGCGGAAAGCAGCTCACTAGTCCAGAATGTGCTAGGTCAAGGGTGAAATAGGTATTCTGATTTCCTGTAGTATTTGAGTTATATTTGGACGAAATGACTCGACATTTTCGGACATTTTCGGCACACTTCGGCTTAGTGAGGTGTTTTCAGCGGTTTAGAGTCGAGACACCGGTCATCTGTCCTCTTTGTTTAACAGAGGAAACAGACGTTTTTGAAAGCAAAATATAAATAAAGCAAAAAACGTTTTCGAATTCTGTTTATGTTCAAAACTAACTTCACCTGTAATTGATGAGTATGTTATACATATATTGTTATCCTGATGGTATATTAAGGTCAAGGTATGTTATAGGGGAAATATATTACTGAATTAAACCTTTCAGCATGAACAGTTGATTATAGATATAAAATAATCACAGACTGGGCTTTTATAATGGCAGTATATATAATGAGGGTAAGAAAATGTTGATAAATAACGAAGACTCAGATTCAAACATTGCCGAGTCTGAATATATTGAGTGTTTGTACGCTTGTGGTATATAAAATCTACACCCAGATAACCTAGGTAATTTACCTGTAATACTTACTTGTACGCTTGTGGTATATAAAATGTACACCCAGATAACCTAGGTAATATACTTGTAACACTTACTTGTACGCTTGTGGTATATTAAATGTTCACCCAGATAACCTAATTTACCTGCAATACTTACTTGGACGCTTGTAGTATATACATGTACAATGTTCACCAAGATAACCAAATTTACCTGTAATACTTACTTGGACGCTTGTAGTATATAAAATGTACACCCAGATAACCTAGGTAATATACCTGTAACACTTACTTGTACTCTTGTGGTATATTAAATGTACACCCAGATAACCTAATTTACCTGCAATACTTACTTGTACGTTTGTGGTATATAAAATGTACACCCAGATAACCTAATTTACCTGTAATACTTACTTGGGTATCATCACTGTCCACATAACAATCTAGGCCAACTGTTGAAGCAATACTGACGTTCTGGTAGAAAATATTGTCCACTGCTGCGAAAGGAAGAAAACATTATACATATATTAAAATAAGTAACAAATCACTCACGTTATCAATGAATGCAATAAATATAACCATATTTACGACACGGACTTCTTTGCTAATGATTTGCGTATAAATACGATCTTGGTTCTATCAAAGCAATAAGATTACTGATTAATTTATTGAAAGTGAATCCAGAAATTTCTATTTTTACGAAAGTCGTTCAGCCTGTGGTCCCTATGATCAGCACTCTCACATATCGTATGCGAATTTGTAGGAGTGGAGTCATCCATTATTATTTTTGTTTTCACAAAAAGAACAACAGTATCGACTGCTTCACCTTCCATACCGAAATAATCTTGCAATAAGCATGACAGAATATCTTTTGACAGGGAGAGGTGACTACAAAACAATATAGTGGCAATAAGTGTCTGAAGACCAATTAACTTCGTTGTAATACTGTTGCACTCTACATAGATCTACCAGAAGGCGCACGATGTATTGTGTCAAACATCCAAGGGGAAAGAGAGGCGTTGGGCTCGGCAATAGCAATTGAAAAGCACATAGAGATTCATTTTCCATTGATACGTCAAACATACGGTACTGGCCGGAGTCAAAGGATCATTGGAAAAGGTTTGATTATTTCTTGACCATGTTGTAAAAAAAAAGATGATTTAAACGGGCGCTAGTACACCACCGTTACATTTTTAAAACTTTCTAAACATTTGGAAAGCTTTTGATTATTTCTTGATCATGTTGGAGAAAAAGACGATTTAAACGGGCGCTAGCACCTCACTGTTACATGTGTAATATTCTTAATCGACGTCGGAACTTGCTCTATAATTAAGTAGTAATGTGTCTTTTAATGTCAATTATTTTTATATTTTTATATTGGCAAAGCTTTATTGATTATGTGTATGTGGGCTCTACACAAAGTGTCCTCTATGCTTATATTGGTAAAAGCCTCTTTGACCACGTGTGTATGGACTCTATATATCACACACGATATGTATTTGTTTGGCCCTGGGATGAGAGATAGGCGACATGTCGGTAGGGATTGGCCCAAACACTCTCGCTCATCTCACATCCTAGGCCCAAATAATTACACGTCTTATATACGTTTTTGCCAATTGTATAACTCTAATAATGTTAAAATGCTACTTTTAGCTTTTAATTTATAATTATGTACATATATGTCATACTTTTACAGTCTATAGTGATAGGGGAAAAGTGAGTGTCTCGTAAGTCTAATATAGTAGACTGGATGTAAGGGTGGGTGAGCAGACATATTTTAGAGATTGTAATACTTGAACCTTTTACATGTGACAGTATAATAAACTAATTTGAATTGAATACATTTGTTAATATCCAGGTAAAAGGACTTGTTTCAAAAGCTCTTAAACAGTGGTTCAATTAAAAAAAATGTATTCACACACACTGCATTAATTGGCTCGTTTAGACATCAACACTTCTGTCGCTGGTCATCAGCAATGTTGATGATTTTGTTCTAAATACAAGTAGGATTTACCTGTACTTAAAATGGCTGTGTTTAAAAGAAAAATATTAATGTTTTTAGTGAAAGTGAATCCGTCTGGTTTTGAATACGAACGAAAGAAAACCAAAACGCAAAACTAATGAACTTTCCAGACCTGAAGTTGAATTTAACAACTTCCCGTAGGTTGACCAGCATGTAAAAGAACACTAAGAAATGTTGCAAATAACGTCTAGAAGAGATATTAGAAATTGTCAGACACAGTCTTGATGAACGATCTGAGTCATGTAGAGTTGCGTTGATTTTTTTACGAAATGGAAAATATTGAACTTTTATTTGTAACTGATGAAAGAGAAAAGGACAAAAAAAGATGGAAGTACTAAATGAAAGTCAAGAGAAACAAAACACGAAAAGCTTTAAGAACAAAACTGATGACTGTTTTGTTTTATATTATCGGCACTATTGACTAAGAATGCAGCTTATCATGAATCAACAAGAGGACAAGTTTTACTCGAGACTATAAATAAAACGCTTTACATCAACTGTGGATACTCAAGATAGTCTTGGAGTCAACAGTCCTTGCAAACTTAAATTGTACAGGAATTGAGTCTATGAGGTGGCTGAAGGACTGAACGATTTGCGACAGGAATGTAGTGAATTACAGGGTTAATCTTTCCATAGATAGTATGGAAAAAATATTGTTAATTAAACAATCCTTCGTGACTAAATTGTCAAATAAGTTTAGTTGTAGTGGGCAAGCCTTGTGTGGTTTTGAATATTTGTGAATGTACTGCAAGGTCAGTAATTCTGAAAGTGTAAACTAGATTATGAACTGTCAATAGAACCTTGTAAATGAAAATTTAAACCTTTGTCAGTATTTGTTAAACAAGCGACAGGAAAGAAGTGTTGGTGATGAATGAAAATAAAAACAAGAAAAAAACAACAGATTTTGTTTTAAAGGACGAATATATGATGACGGCTTTGTTTGATACTTTAGACACTTTCAATATAAAAGAGAAGCACATTCTTAAGTTAGCATGTGTTGTAAAACAGAACATGTATATTACTAGAGTTTATAAATACACTAAATGCTGGATATGTTTCGTGGATCCTTTGGATAGTCTCGACGTCCATCTGTCGTTGAAATAGGAAAGTATTTAAGTAATGAGTTCATAACCGCGGCTGGTAGTAAATTTGTCCCTGATAGAAAACAATCAAAATAAAGTGGTTTCAGGAGATGACCAGTGTTGATTTACCTGCATGTAATACATTTGGGGCTGTGACCAAAGAAACAAAGATACAGGCATGTCAAGGGAAAGGTTCCGGTTTGTGCGAGTAATTCAGAAGAAGCTTACACTATGTTTATTGAAGGACTGAACGATTTGCGAACGGAAGGTAGGTAGTGAAATACAGGGTTCGTCTTTTGCTGGTAATGGAAAGGATGTTACTAATTAAACAACCCTTCGTGCCATTATTGACAGATCATTTCAGTTGCAGTGGGCAGCCTTGTATGGTTGAATGCATTGCACGTTAAGTCATTCTGGAAAGTGGAAAGTGGATTAGGAACTGTCAATGAAGGATGTGATAAAGGTGCTACAATGCAGGTCTCTGTACAAATTCCCTTTAGAATGTATGATTGCTCGAAAACATAGGTAGTAAACAGTTGTTCTTGGTAGGTAATCCCACACTGTTCTCAGATATCGGTCCACTGAGGATTGTCGAACAAAATTTAGAAGTCTTTGCTCTGAATAGCAGACACACATTTCCATTTGCTTAAAGGAGCTGTCATAATACTTGACAACAAAACGCGAACACTACGTCCAACTCAAGGGTCATTGACAGAAGATCGACTAGTTTGCAAAATTGGAGAATGTTTTAGAACAACTAGAAATACATTTCTCACTCTCTTTAAATACAACAGAGATCATATTGATCCAGAAACGTTTTTCGCCGATTAATTCGTTTAAAGCAACGGATCTTGTTTGAGATGAGGAAAAAACTAAATTAGGCAAAGAGTTTGGGTGTTTTTTCTTCTATTTAGCTCTTCTTCAGTTATTGAGAAGGTTATAAAATATAACAAAATATTGATACTTTGAAATTAGATGATCACGAACAGAAGTGGTGCTTGCTGCACGACGAAGCCTTGCAATTTTGAGATGTTACACAACGTACGTAAATAAGTTAGGCGTCATAAATATATTTCTTCGTTTATCCCAACGAGGACAGGAAAATTCACGAAGGCCATATCCAACACAATAAAATGTTCACGATGGAAATGTATACTTGTATTTAAGAATGGCAAACGCAGTGTGCAATAGAGCGGAAAATTTGGGAGATTAAAAATGTATTAACGGTATTCCAAATAGCTAAACATGAAATGGTTCTCCGAGGATATTTTTGAATATTAGTTCATATTTCTTTTAAAATTAATACCAATTACATTTTTTGTGAAGTAATATCAAAACTCCATAGCTGTTGATAGGACGTTAAACAATACTAAACCAAACCAAACCAAACTTATACACAAGCCTATATTACCGTTTATCAATTGCTCACTCAAGTGGCAACATGCCCGCCAGCGGGGGCAGGCGACACATCGACTTCCTTGGAATTCTTGTATGTTTATTTCCAGTAAACGAAGTGATTCGACTACCATAGCACAAGGGGGTACGGTAGTGTAGTGGTAGGACGCCGGGCTCGTGACTGAAGGGTTGTGGGTACGAGTCACGGCACGGCACTGTGCTGTTTTTTTGTGCAAGATACTTTACTCTACTTGTTCCAGTCTAATCAGATGAATGAGAACGTGGTTGGGTAGTGTTAGAATTGTTGAATGCTAGCTGCGAGCCCCGACATGGCAGCATCGGCTGTATGCTCCCCATGAAGTTGAGAATCAAATATCCCCGCGGTTCAGAGTAATAGCGGAGATTATTTGTCCCGTGCGGCACTCGTTTGCTAGTTGGAGCACGAGCGGCGAGTGCTGTCACGTGTCCACGGGACAGGTGAGCACGGGGCATATAGTATAGGGTCATTTCTAGACGCTTATTCGGGACGCGCGGTTCACATCAAACTTTGGATGGGGATGTTAGCACAGGGTATATATATAGTTGTTTGCAGTCCAATGTATGGGTTTATAGGTCGCATGTAGTAAATGCGGGGAGTTTGTGGGGTTTTATTATTTTTAGGCGTTTTTCATGCTTGTATTTGTGGTTTATAAATATTTGTTTGGAAATAACGTACAGAGTATGACATTGGTTTCCGGCTGTCACCCTTGAGAGATATCCTGCAGGGAAATAATAGTTGTCCCGCCTCTGGACGCAGATTTCCGGGGGTTATCTCCGGTTTTTTCTGAGCGAGCGGGTTGATCTCGATGAAGGGGAATCTCTGAGACATGTACGTTTTTCAATAGGGGGTCTGTATTTTTCGCAGAGTACTGAAAAGTTTGTGATGTTTATGTTATGAATGTCCATTGCTTGGTATATATGTATATGCTGTCTTATTGTTTAATGTCTGATTAAACGCCCACCGCCTACGTCCTCACGGCGAGCTAGCGGCAAATTGAATATTTGAGTTGTGTCGGTTTTTCAAGTAGCGGAGTGAAGCAAGACATATAGTGGCTGGTTGCAAAGGCCCTGTAACCACGGATAATAATTTGTGAACCGGTTTCATGACGACCCACGAACTAGGTTGTGATAAAGCGGTATATAAAAACCTCGAATTAATATAAATATTATAGCACCACAGGGACCTGAATATTTGTTACAGCTATATTTGGACCTAAACTAAGATGTTCTGAGTAATTTGACATGTTTTAGAGGTTTAGACCGACTTTTGGTAAAAATGCCAATCCAACGATCTAAACCCCTCAAATATGTAAAATTAATCTAAACACATAAGTTTAGGACCAATTATAGCTGTAACAAATTTGCAGGTCCCTGTGCATAGCACTACTGTGACTTATCGACTACTTTTTACTTCTATGACATTTTCGATTGTCGTTATCAACGAGATCTGACTGTGACTTTGTCTCATTAGGAATACGGTTTTAAAATGTCTACAAATTATACTGCTGCACCTACAGTTTTCAGTTGCTATAACTGGGCACAATCTAAAACACCGGGCATCCGGGTGAGATAAACTATATAGCTTCAGTATGTGCGTTACCTTGACTTAGAGATAGAGGTTAAAAAAGCGGTAAATGTATCGAGCATCGTCTAGTGGTGATAGGTTTGTGAACGAAGTTTACGAAACATCAGCCTCCTGCCATTCAAATCAATACATATGACCCAGACAACGTATGTGTCTCGATGTCTCGCCAAACTCTCAGATTCACCCCACCCTCTCAGTGCTAGTCCCTCCCCAATGTATATGTAGAGGCATTTAAGCTCGAGCAATTGTTTTATCAATATACTTTTATACTGCTATACCTCGATAAAATGCCACTCATTTATTTTGCCATCTCTCCTACCGCCAACAGGATGTTAACCGTATATACTTTGGTATGTTTATATACCTATGCCCCTCTGTGTAATGTCTTCTGCCGTACATGTCTATATAACGCATCCGACGGAATTTATCACATCCACTTCTTCGGCAAATTGTAAATTCCCTGTATACCGAGTCCCTCTATATATTGTCAACTCCTTTATAACGACTCCCTCGGTATAAAGTCAAACCCATTTATAACGACTCCCTCGGTATAAAGTCAACCTTTTTCATAACGACTCCCTCGGTATAAAGTCAGTCTTTTCCATAACCTTGCCTCAATATATTGCCAAATAATAGTCGTTGTACAATAGTCAAACTCCCACCCTATACTATCAGACCCTCTGTATAACGCCTCCCTCAGTATATTGTCAAACCTCTTTATATCGATTGATTGTAAAACGATTCGTTTCACCTCTGATCATATTGTAAAGCCCTTTATAAAGCCAATACTGATGGCAGTATAACGAGGTTGTGAGGTTTTTATAATAAAACTGGTAGAATTATTTGCAATTATTCAATTATTAACGAGTGGACTTTCTTACATGTATTACCAAATACCATATGATTATCATGATTGCCAAATTGGTAATCAAACTACTTAGCCTTTAATCATTCAAATTCATTTTTTATGTTCTAAAACTGTTTTGTAGTTTGTTTTATGTCACCATCTTCTATACTGTATGTGAACAGCAACAGAAATTCTAAACGATGGGTTGTTTGTAAACACTTCGAAGATCCTCATATTGATGCAATGAATTTGACCATTAATGACTTTTCCTCGAAAGAATAACGATCATTACACAAATCATGTAACGTTACTTTCAAAAGCATTTTTAAATATTTGCGGAAGAGTCATCACTGCTTCATCTGTCAAATCAATAAAAGTCGCTTGTAATGCATTAAGTACACCAACGACAAAAAATCGAAGCTTACCTGAAGATGAGGTGAAATCAACACTTAAAAGAAGAAAGAAGATCACGCCTCCCAAATCAGGCATCGTTCTGTTGATTAAGTCTATCATAGATACAACAGGGATCAAGGTACACCGCTATAATCCCGATAGTATCCCAGAGGTATCTGGACCTAAGACAATCCGCCGTTTAGAATCCTTTGTAGGGTTACGCTTGTATTGAAGTTGTTTAAAACGTTCTGCCGACAATGTGTCATTACAACATGACAGAGGAAGGTGTCAGACCCACTCGTGTTCTAAGAGTGCAATATGAACGTCACAAGTGGCCAGTTGAAGTGTCGGCCTTGTTAGCCCCGTCAGACTCCAGAAATTCCACACTACTCCAACCTACAGCAAGGGGATGTCGAGTGAAAACTCACCACACATATGACCCAGCTCGAGTGTTTTTAAACATTATAACGAGCGTGTTATCGTACACTATTTTCCTCCTCCTCTTCGTCTACAATATACAATAGAAACGCCAGGATGGAGAGTCTATTCTATGTACACCGTACACTCGTAAAAAGCACCGGCGCGGGATTTTTTATCACCGGTTCTTCTCCTGTAAAATAGTAATATGTATTGCCTTAAACCAGTAATGACTTCCGCAGATCACTCCTCAAAATATCTAAAAGTTGGGTTTTTTCTGAGCGTGTATCAAAATGGTGATCATCGACGGCCATGACCGCGATTTGGTGAATTTGATGAGCGTTTATAGAGTTGAATATTCCCTGTCTACTACTAGGTACAAGCCCGGTACGAATTTGTGATCTATACCGAGAGCTTAATGCTCTAGCACCTGTTCTGACTAAGTCCTTAGATCTAGCGGTATTACTTACGATCGCAAGCTCCTGGCGGAGCCATACAGTTGCTCTTCAACATTCTAGTGATAAAAAAATTAAATAACAACAGGCGTAAATCAGTCCCTCTCGGTTTTCTTCATTGAGATAGATATTTTGATGAACTCTCGCACCACGAGATTACCATGCAAGACATGTTTTTAACTTCCGGTGAAACACCGACAAGTAATCTGCAGTATTCTGTGTTAATCTCGTCATTTCGAGAAAGCCGTTATGAGCCTAGGATAATAAAACCTCATATATAGACCAACGATGATGGCGATAAACTTGTCTACAATGATGTGTGCTAATTTCATGTGTAAATAATGGCTGAACTTAGGCAGACGTAAAAATAAATAGCCAGAAAATGTCATGTCTTAATTAGGCTTTCATTTAAATTTCTTCTATGTGAATCCATCTGAAATGTTTCAAATACATAAAATAAATCTTTGTTTTGTTGCAACTACTCTATGTTTTAAAGCAATTTTGTTCGTTGTTTAAGTAATACTCCCTTAAACATATATTGTGAAACGAACTGCAAGACATTTCACCCTTCCCATTTAGTCTTTACGACGGCGGCCATTATAATAGTTTAATCTTTGTAAGGAATGACCCATACGGGAAATGCTCCAGGTTATTCCAAAGATGTATATGGAAGTAAAATAGACCTGCAGTCAACGTTCTCTTTGCTAGTAATATAAAGTCATGCTCGAGTTGAAATATGAAATACACTCAATGTATAAATAGAACAAATTTGCTGTTTTCATCTCGAAATACCATTACATTCATTTCCATATTTATATATATATATATATATATTTATAGCGTGTAGAACATTTGCAAGAAACATAAATTAAGGATATACCTTTTCAAAATTAAGTTTGTCGATACATATAGCCCAACAAAGCAAACATTTTGCATGTACCATGAAGTCATTTCGTTTATTTAACACTCATCATTAATACAGCACTAAATGTCAAAAGAGTGAAAAACCATGTCTTGAATTTTCCGAAACTTTTAGAATACAATGAAATTGAAAAGGTAGTTATAAACCACTTAATTAACTAATTTTTTTACAATTCTGGCTACGTTAGATAATTTATTCATTACGTAGTACTACATATGAGGGCACCCGTCCTCAAAAGTCTAGGTATAACGCTCTCTTACGTGGAGAGAATGTAAATGGGCGTTACCCCTGGATTTACGAGCAGGGATGGAATCGTCTGGATTGAAATACTGTTTTAAAATGGCAACGTTGTCAAATGTCTGAACTGGATGATAAATAGAATCTTACATTCGTGTACGACTTCTCAGAAATACATGTAAATTACATACACCAAGAAAAAGGTCGGTCATATGAAAATTTTCAACTCTTTTAAAACAAAACCAGCATCGTTGAACCACATCTGTATCATCCCAGGGTATTAAAAGGTGTGATCAAATCTATTTGTATGTACACTAATGTTGATATGCACGTGTTTTGTGCTCGAGATTACTTATTTCTCATTTAAGAAGCATTTTAAGATATGTTTCTAACTCTGACTCAGACCGCGGGTTGTTCGTGCGCGCTGTATAATATACGGTATTATCACCTCTTTACCATCTGTTAGATGCACGGCGCTAACAGCGAAAAAAATGATATCATAATAATAAATATAGACACCTTGTATATACAGTTTATATATATAAGTAACATAAAAAAGCAAATAACATGGGTTAGTGGTACATTACCCGCAGTATTGCAACGGATGCAAAACGACGTAAGATCGTGTGGTTTGGGTAAGAAACTGTATTTTTATCGAAAATCATGGGGTGTGACTCGAGATTAGTTGATGCTTTGTTTACAACACAAGAATGTGTGTGTGTTTGTGAATAAAAGTGTTTATTTAAAATTAACAGATTTTTAAAGCTTCCCCAACTTGTCGAGTAGAAATATTATATTCTAAAATCATTTTCTCTGACGATGTCTTTACATAAACAAAATGCAATTTATAGATAATTTCTATTTTTTATTGTCTTCGGGGGTTTAATTTAAATCCTGGACAAATATATCAAAATGTGAATTTAAATAGTCTAATCCGGTCTGATTTGTTTTTTTTATTTTTGAAGCTTACAATGCATTAAGCAACAAGGACACTGCTTATCGTTAAACAAACTTAACACTGGTGGATTCGACTTTTAATACAGTGAACCACTGTCTCGCTGAATAACAAACATTGATTTAATCGTGCCAATCATCCCGTATCCTGTCAGCTTCAGGAGTACACTGTGCATAAACATTCAGATGAAAAATCCAAATGGCATCATCATCATCACCATCATCATCGTCGTCGTCGTCGTCGATATCATCACCATTGTCATCATCGGTATTACATTTATACCTTTAATACTATGAAGGCTTTTTTATCAGTGTCCTTGACATTACTTTGTCCGTCGTCTACTATTTTGTCTCTATAAGTTTACTTTGCATGTTGCCTATCTCCTTTAGTTGTCTTAGGAATATTTTATATGTTGCCTTCCACATTGGGTTGCTTAGGTAATACAGTGTATGTTACTTACCACCTTTGGTTGCCTAGGTAAATACATTGTATTACCTAAATATTTTCTTTGGTTGCCAAGGTAACACAGTGTATGTTGTTTGTCACCTTAAGTTGCCTGGGTAATACTTTGTATGTTACTAACCACATTAAGTTGCCTGGGTAATACTTTGTATGTTACTAACCACCTTTGGTTGCCGGGTAATACTTTGTATATTGCCTACCTCCCTTGACTGCCTGGGTCTAACTTCATATGCTGCCTGCTGCATTTGATTACCTGGGTACTACAATGTATGTTTTTATCATCTTTGTTTGCCTAGGTAATGCATTGTATGTTGCTCATCACCTTTGGTTGTCTTGGTATTACTTTGTTTGTTGCCTACCTCCTTCTGTTGCCTTGGTATTATTTTGTATGTTGCCTATCCCCTTCGGTTGCCTTGGTATTACTTTGTTTGTTGCCTACCTTCGTCGGTTGCTTTGATGTTACTTTGATTGTTGTCTACACCCTTCGGTTGCCGTGGTATTACTTTGTTTGTTGCCTACCCCCTTCGGTTGCCTTGGTATTACTTTGTTTGTTTCCTACCTTCGTCGGTTGCTTTGATGTTACTTTGATTGTTGTCTACACCCTTCGGTTGCCTTGGTATTACTTTGTTTGTTGTCTACCCCCTTCGGTTGCCTTGGTATTACTTTGTTTGTTGTTTCCCCTCTTCGGTTGCCTGGGTATTACTTTGTTTGTTGCCTACCTTCTTCGGTTGCTTTGATGTTACTTTGATTGTTGTCTACACCCTTCGGTTGACTTGGTATTACGTTGTTTGTTGTCTACTCCCTTCGGTTGACTTGGTATTACTTTGTTTGTTGTCTACCTCCATCGGTTGCCTGGGTATTACTTTGTTTGTTGCCTACCTTCTTCGGTTGCCTTGGTATTACTTTTTTTGTTGTCTACTCCATTCGGTGCCTTGGTATTACTTTGTGTGTTGCCTACCTCCTTCGGTTGCCTGGATATTACTTTGTTTGTTGCCTACCCACTTCGGTTGCCTTGGTATTACTTTGTTTGTTGTCTACCCCCTTCGGTTGCCTTAGTATTACTTTGTTTGTTGTCTACCCCCTTCGGTTGCCTAAATATTACTGTGCATATTTCTGACCACCTTTGTTAGTCATACATGAAGGAATATGTTAGTTTACTGCGTCATTGTTTCCTATCTTATAAGTTTGTTTCAGCTAGATTCAGCCTTGGTATTACTTTTTTTGTTGTCTACTCCATTCGGTGCCTTGGTATTACTTTGTGTGTTGCCTACCTCCTTCGGGTGCCTGGATATTACTTTGTTTGTTGCCTACCCACTTCGGTTGCCTTGGTATTCCTTTGTTTGTTGTCTACCCCCTTCGGTTGCCTTAGTATTACTTTGTTTGTTGTCTACCCCCTTCGGTTGCCTTGGTAATACTTTGTTTGTTGTCTACCCCCTTCGGTTGCCTAAGTATTACTTTGTTTGTTGTCTACCCCCTTCGGTTGCCTAAATATTACTTTGCATATTTCTGACCACCTTTGTTAGTCATACATGAAGGAATATGTTAGTTTACTGCGTCATTGTTTCCTATCTTATAAGTTTGTTTCAGCTAGTTTCAGCTATATAATTTTGTTTCAGCTAGTTTCAGCTATATAAGTTTGTTTCAGCTAGTTTCAGCTAAATACCCCCTTCGGTTGCCTAAATATTACTTTGCATATTTCTGACCACCTTTGTTAGTCATACATGAAGGAATATGTTAGTTTACTGCGTCATTGTTTCCTATCTTATAAGTTTGTTTCAGCTAGTTTCAGCTATATAAGTTTGTTTCAGCTAGTTTCAGCTTGGTATTACGTTGTTTGTTGTCTACTCCCTTCGGTTGACTTGGTATTACTTTGTTTGTTGTCTACCTCCATCGGTTGCCTGGGTATTACTTTGTTTGTTGCCTACCTTCTTCGGTTGCCTTGGTATTACTTTTTTTGTTGTCTACCCCCTTCGGTTTCCTTGGTATTACTTTGTTTGTTGTCTACCCCCTACGGTTGCCTTGGTATTACTTTGTTTGTTGTCTACCTCCTTCGGTTGCCTTGGTATTACTTTGTTTGTTGTTTACCCCCTTCGGTTGCCTTGGTATTACTTTGTTTGTTGCCTACCCCCTTCGGTTGCCTTGGTATTACTTTGTTTGTTGCCTACCCCCTTCGGTTGCCTTGGTATTACTTTGTTTGTTTTCTACCCCCTTCGGTTGCCTTGGTATTACTTTGGTTGTTGTCTTATCCTTCGGTTGCCTTGGTATTACTTTGTTTGTTGTTTCCCCTCTTCGGTTGCCTGGGTATTACTTTGTTTGTTGCCTACCTTCTTCGGTTGCTTTGATGTTACTTTGATTGTTGTCTACACCCTTCGGTTGCCGTGGTATTACTTTGTTTGTTGCCTACCCCCTTCGGTTGCCTTGGTATTACTTTGTTTGTTGTCTGCCCCCTACGGTTGCCTTGGTATTACTTTGTTTGTTGTCTACCCCCTTCGGTTGCCTAAATATTACTTTGCATATTTCTGACCACCTTTGTTAGTCA